TAAAATATCGAAAAATATACAGCGCGCGAATTTTAAATGAGAATTTCCGAAAACTTTTCGGTCTTAATGTAAATTAATTAAAAATAATTAAAAATTAACTCCAATCAGTAGATTAATTCAATACATTATCCTAATGAATTTTTTTTATAAAGTATTGTATTATATATAATAAAAATGTTCTTAGTTGGATCTCATATCACAAGGTATGGATAATCTGACAAGAAATAGGTTCCAAAAACCTCGTAGGCCGAAACCTTGTCCTCAGGTGTGTCCTCCTCAGGTAAGTTTAAATTGGATAAAACCTTAAAAATGTATAATATACAACAAATTAATTTCTGAATTTATAGTGTAATATGGTTATATTAAACCGTAAAAAACTGTGTTCAGAACTTAATATAAAATATAATAAATTTAATATAAAATAAAAAAATTAAACAATATTATATCAATAATAGCTGGTTTTTATGATCCTATTACAATATCTATTTGTATAAAACAAATGGCAAATGTGATCTCTGGCTAGTTTTGTTTTAATTAGCATTTTATCTCAATAAAATTAATTGATTAAATTTTTCAAACAAACCTTTGCGTCATTGGTTGTCAGGATAAAAATACTTTTTCTCTAAACTGGTTCTTCAAATTTGGAATTGTAATCTTGGATTTAATCCTGAAAGTGTCTTAAATAAGAAGTACTTAATAGCAATATTAATGAAACTATGCCATGTTCGTTAGAACGTGAATATGAGAAAAGTATTTATCTATTTCTTTATGGCCGTAGAAGTACCTTACAGTATACTGGAAGATACTACAAAAGACTGACGCAGGTTGCCATTGATCACTTCTCTCAATAAAAGTTAATTGAAAATCACATGATCAACATATTCAGATTCTACGACACTGTTAGATTGTACGGCACACAATTTGACAGATCTAGAGTAAATCTAAATTGAATCCTGATTTACTAATTTCAAATGCCATAACTGATATGGTAACTGTACTATATTAATATGTCATACACAATTATATGAAAAATAAAATAATCTATAATATTTATAATTTTATAATTATTTTAAAATGAAATTGATAATAATGACAAAATCACTTTAATTTTCAAAGTAGAGCTTTCTGGCGAAATTAAAATATCATAAACATATTAATAATGATTATATCTTGGATAAAAAGCATTTTTAATGATTTTTCTATAGCAGTTCCAATGGCCCAAAATAGACTCAAATATAGAAAACTTGGAAGATATTACGATTGACTTAGTAGGATCGAGCGCTGAAGGCGACGATATGTGCGAATAGGTAAACAATAAATTATTAGTTTGTTCTACTTACTTACTAAGACTATTATTAATTTACTTATTGCATCACAATTAATTAATAATAATTCAATGTTTATATTTTGATAAATATATTAGTTATTAAAGAAAATAAATTTCTACAAAGTCTTTTTAATCTTAGGAACTAAGAACAAAAGGAAGCAATTGGTAAAGGTAAATATAATTTTTACTGCATAAACTATATTATTATTCAATATTATATTAACATTTTATTATAGTTTTATAAATGTTAATATATACTAATAATTTTCCTGACTTATACAGTAAATTATTTTTAAATTATTATTATCGAAAATTAAATAATTAATTATAAAGAGGTTTTTTTCGAACAGTAATATTATTATTTTATATTAATTTAATTAATTAAAATTTTGGCTGACCAAACAGCTATTTCGAGTGTTGGTAAATAATAATTAATTATTTTAGTTCAGACATATTTTTATTAACAGTTTATTGCATATTTATTACATTATTAATTAAAATTTGTTTGTGGATAAGCAATAAAAACAAATTAAAAAAACAATCAAAAAATGATTTAAAAAATAAATGTATAAAATTTTTTAAGTTAATAAAATGAATTAATAAATGCAATAAAAATTTAAAAATGTTTTAATGAAATTTTATGTATAGTTTACTCGTTTTTTTTTTAAGAAAAAAAAACTAACCAGAAAAGTCAAACGTTATATATCAAATATCTATTTCAAAAAGAAGATAATTGATTAAAAGGATTCAGTTGTATTAATGAAATGACATATGTGAAACCAAAAAATATATGAACTTTCACTGGTGGCGGTTCTCAAAACCGGACTTCAAAATATTTTGGACTATGCCAAATTACAACAATTCAAACTGATTTTTTTTACTAGAAGAGTAAAACTTAAATTTTTAGTTACACAGATCTCCGATCTATATTTATAAAATATATTCCTTTTGCAATAAAAGTATACATATCAAAAATCATTTGGTTCGTTATTTATTTATATTTTGTAATGTTTCTGTTATAACTATGTATAGGAAAATTTCTGAAAGTATAATTTTGTTGCTTCAAAAAGAATGAAGAATCATGTGTAAGGTAAGTCTTCGATTTTTAATACTCACCGAGTAAGAGTTTTCAAAATAGGATGTATGCCTATATAAAAGAGATAAGTCTTAGAAGCTTTATTTGTCAACTTATTGCAAAATATTGTCAAGATCTTGAAGTATTCAAAAAGAGCATGGTAAATACAATAGAAGACATAACGTCCTATCTTAAATATCTTAAATATTTTACTACATTTTTTAATTGATCTTGATTTTATTGACTTTTTTTATAATCTAAACTTTGTTACACTATCCGTAATTTGAGGAAACAGTCGCTTCCTCTCGGCTAATGTTTGTTATTAAGTGATAATAAATGTACTCTCCAGAACAGCACTGGACAAAATAATTCAATCTTAACCATATACATTAATCTATATCCGGTTATATAAACAGCAAATTTTGAATATGTCAATAGACCTAGTAGATTCAAGTGATGGAGAATGTATAAATGATATTTCAATAGATTTTGTGGGTTCAAAATGTGAAAACGAATGCAATGAACCATATATAGGTAATGAATCAGTAGACTTAGTAGGTTTAAGATACGAACCTTTATGTGTGTCGATGTCTAATCTACTAAATGTTTATTGTATTTGTATTAAAAAATTTTGACATTTCATATTTTTGCAATGTGTTAGAAACACGTTATTGTACTGATGTTTCTAACTTTCGAGTATGTGATTATTAAGTCAATATTACCGAGGAAGTGAATTACTAGACGTTCGTATTATGCAGCACAGGACGCCAAAGTAAATGAATGAACACTATAATAAATATTATTTTAAACACAATGACTATTTACTTGGTTATAATTTGTTCACAAATTCATAAATTGTTATATTACCAGTTTAATCACATATTACAAAAATGTTTAAATAATAAAAAAAAAATTCTTTATATTATAAATACGTAGAATTTTATTTTTCAGAAAGTAACTCAATAAAAAAGTCAATTAGACATACATTTGATTGACTTTTGAAAATGAATATGATGAATCCTAAGAATTCACCTCCTTTACAAAAATATCATCTGTTACATGATATTTAAATCTTCTTTACTTTATATATCTCATCTTAGCGAGATAAGATTATATATATGTTTAGCGAAAGGTCTGTATATGTCCACTACTCTTTCCAATACTGGCAATACTCAACATTAGGCTTCAAAATTTTTCAAATTTGATATACTTATATTTGACATAAATTTGAATTTCAGCAAATCAAAAAAAAAACACTATATAAATTAATAGTTACACCGATCTACATATATTTGCTATACTTTTTTCATACATCAACAACAGATATAAACAATATTTCGTTGTGTATCATTTTTATGTTTTTATGGGGTTCAGATCAATTCAGATCAACGGTATTCATTTATAAAAACAATTCTAATTTTCTTTTTTAGTTTAAGAAAAATAACATAAACTTATGGTTAGGTTCCTAATAATATACACATGGATCTAGCTACTAGAACTGTTGGTTATATTGACTAATTATATCCAGATTATATTAGATTAGATTTAGAAACGAGTTGGGAACTTGTCACCATGTCACTGCATCCTTTAAGGATTATTGTGACATACAAATTTTATTATAATTGTATAACTACATCTACCCCAGTAAAATAATTATATGTGCAGTACTTGAAATCTGTTTTAAACTCCAACAAATTTTGTTAGGGTGAATTTAGTTTATTATTTGTTTTTATGTTTAGTAGTCTAATTAAAATAATAAAAACATTTTATTCAAATTTATTTTTGTGAAGAAAAAAATTAACTTTATTTTAAATCTTCATAGAAAATATTTATATGTGCAATTCACATTTTTTGCTAAAAACAATTAATTATTTTATGTGATTTATTTTTTTTTTATTTTTCATATAAGGTAATGTGTTTCCATTATTTATTTTTATTAACTATATCTTAAGTGGTATTAATTCCACCAATTTTTTTAATAGTAGGAGGTCAATTTTTGCCTATTCGTCCAGTATGTCCTTTTTCAGCTATTTAAGAGTGTCGTATTGCTTCGAATAAGCATAAATATTGGCACTAAGAATACCCCAAAGATCCTCTATTGGAATTATGTCAGAACTCATGCTTGGCCAATCTAGCAATGGGATGCTTCTCTCTTCAAAGAATTTCTTCGTAGCACAAGAAACATGTATTGGTGCATTATCCTGTTGGAAAGTCCAATTATCTCCATGAATATTTTCAGCGAAATTTATTAGTTCGCTATCCAACAGATTTATGTATATTTCCGAATTCATTTTTGATGGTACGAAGCATATATTAGATTTTCCCTTCGAGCTAAAGGCAATCCACACCATTAGTGAACCACCACCATGGTTGCGTTTATTGCAATTCTGACGTGGATGACGAATATATCTCCAATACTTATGTTGACCATCTGGACCGTCTAGATTAAACTTTCTTTCATCACTGAAAACAACTGCTTCGAACTCCTCGTCCCAAAACTTATTTTTGTCATAAAAAGCTAAACGAGCATTTTTATGTCTTTGTGTAAGGCACGGTTTGGGAACTTTCGACTCATATTTTAGCTTTAAGTCTTTTCTCATAATTTGTTGCACGCATTGCCTAGTGATAGACAAATCTAATTCGTTTCTTATTTGTCTGCAACTCATCCTCTCATTGGTAGCAAGAAGCTGAATATGCCGTTTTGTTCGGTCGTTAATAGTTGGTAAGCGGCCGCCTCGCTTATAACACCATAGTTTTTGAGATTTTTTAAGAAGTTTATTATATTATTGAGGTGTCTATAACCAGCAGCAAATATTTCGCCAATTTTCATCCCAGCACGACTCATTCCAATAATCTTTCGGCACTCTTCACTTGAAAGTTTCGTCCCACCCTGCATTTTTTATCTAAACTTAATTAAAATCATAAATATTTATTAATATATAATACATATTTTACTTACCAATTGTTCTTTACTCTTCAATACTTTAAAAAAAAAACTTTATAATACACTTCACAACTTTATTTCCATTTACTGTTGACACTTCGAGAGGCAAAACAATTTTGCACATATAATTATTTTCTATTAAATTTGCTACCTATTGTTATTAGTTATGATAACGATACCACAAATAATATATAAAAACAACTCCATATATGATCAGAGAAGTTAAACTTAACTACAAAATCAGCTGTATATAAAAAAAAATAGTACCATTATTCTAAGAAGAGAATAACGAAAAACAAATTTTGCACATATAATTATTTTACTGGGGTATGTGTCTCATTTACCCAGTATTCCAATGTTTATTATATACCATAGAGTTTAAGTATTAGTGCCAGTCGATTGAAATGGTGTTATAATAAAAAGGGTATTACATTTTTGATTTCTGACAGTTCTTTAGTAAGTTGATGATTGATCTATTAGTAGAGCTATAAAAAATGCATACATGTAATGTGATGACTATGTGAAGACTATATATCGTATATATAGACGTATTTGATTTCAAACTCTCGTCCAATATTTTTTAGTGTAGTGAGCTTCAAATAGTATATTAAATTTATATAATTATATTTTATATTATACTAATTTTTATTTGTATATTTTGTGAAAGTTTTCAATAAAGCAATATTGATATTTTTTTCACTTTCCTAGAAGTGTATAATAATTGATCGGTTGGCTGCAGATAACCTTCCATCGACCTCAATTAGTGATTCTTCTCTGTTTTGCTACTACATTCCTCGTAAGAAACCCTAAGATAGAAAAATACACACTAATCCATTGCGTCTAATTTAGATAATTTAACAGATATTACATCGTTACCAATGAACAGTATGATGAGCTAATAAAGTCAAAAAGTATTTCCATAAAAACATGTTTCTTCTGGACGCCAAAGGCGGGGATTTAAAAAAAAGTTTAATGGTTTCCTTTTCTCAAAGGTTTTCAAAACTTCTGCAGTTAGGATTATGAGAAATGTTCAGTTTTCTGTTCTATGTACCAATGACCACAGAGAACTGTAGTAAGCCTTACAGATTTTGCACGATCCCGCTTAATAAATTTCATTAGTTATTGGCAAGCAGAAGAAAGTAGGTAGAGGTAATGGGTTCTTTTAATAGTTTCTAGATCAACATTAACCGATACCCTTGGGATACATAAAGGAAAACACCAAGGCGGGCTAAAACGTTAGTTTTGTCATGTTCTTCAATGATCAGGAATCAGGAATCCAGACAAGAGTGATGTCAGCTAGCCGGTTTAGCTCGTCCATTGCGTCTCTACGTTCTTTCACTTTGTGATTTTGTAATGAACAATTTGAGTTTTGATTTCAGCCTGGGTATCAATAAAAATGGCAACATTACATTTGTTTTTCATGTGACTCGCAATATGCTTACCTAATCGCTAAAACTTTAACCTGTGATTTCATTAGATAGTCTAAGGAAATAATATATAACTTAAAATTCCGCGAAAATACTTGCTCGTATCCCCCCATCTCGCTACGCGCGTCATACGTAAATATTGAAGTACTGTGCTTTGGTTGAAAGTTTCTTCTTTTCCATTCATATAGAAAAATCATATATAGTACATATAATAATTACTTAATAGTACTTAACAAGATTCAAGTAATTTAGAATTGTAGGGTGTTATATAATCACGGCTCAAATTACAGTAAT